CAGTTAGCATAGGCGAGTTAGAGGCCGACCAAGTATCCCTCCCTTGTTAGAGGAAAAGTTCTTAATCCCCCACAAAACAGATGGAGCACGATTACGGAGGTAACGATGGCGTGGAAGGCGATATTGATGTTCCCATCCCCATCTCCAAAGGTGTCGCTTATCGGTTTCCCTTTTCCGGAAAAATCTACGCATGTAAGCTTTCGTTACGGACTTTTCCATCTGCATTTTAGAGTACAAACCTCTTTTTTTAGTTAGAGACAATATTACTGTCACATACGGACATAACATCGCTCCTGTTGATCCGTTTGCTAGCTTGTTTGATTACCAGAAGCATCGCGATCCAGCATTAGCTATACCTAGAACAAGGAGGGATGTGTCCTCGCTATCCAGAAAGGTATGCCTAAATAACTCTCAGAACGATGCAGAGTAGTTAGTCCATTTATTTTTAGGTTTGGATGAACGAACCTGTGGCGAGTACATATGAGAAACACCTGGAAACTGGCGGAAGGGTGAATCTTCAAAGCTCTGATATGACTCCCTATGAGCTGAATAGTCACTCACAAGGAAATTCGCAGAGATATTCTTCAAATACGTACATACCTACTAGTATCTTGCAAAATCATATACACCGGAATTCATTACTTTACGATAACTATGTCATGTTGTGGCCGGATATCCTTCTTACTCCGGAATATCCCAGCGAACCTCCTCTCAATGTGTACTATTTCTCTTAATAACTTACTGTTATTTTTAATACTAAAATTATGCTAATAATGTGTAAATAAAGGAAAAAAGTTACTGCGTGGTGGTACTTTCGAAATGTGCGCGCAGTTTCAGGCGTGTAGAATTTGGAAAGTTTTGATTTCACTGGGTAAATTAGCTTCATTTTATTCCACATCAACCGAACTCTGCAAACAGAAGGCAGGAAAAGTAAATGAAAAATATAAATTTGTTCGAACAAATGTCGCTATTAGAGCGCACTTCTTTTTCTCCATTGTCACCAGTCATTTTTCGAGACATCTTCTAAGGTAAACTTGATTCCAAATAGCTCAGCACTTGACACATGAAGGCAGCAATGTGAATAGCTGGATTTTTCTATTATACATATATGTTGTAGCAGCAAACTCGACCCTCGTCAGAACGGGCTGCATTCCCCAATTTTTTAAGGATTTTTTGCCAACAAAATACCCTGCGTATTTGCAAGAGAAAGAAACTGCTGACTTCAATAACAAGCTCATCTATTTTTTGATTCCAGTCGATGGTGGCATGAATAGCAAGGTGACTCATGAAATGTCGCCTGTCTTTACTGTTCTGGCCAAATTCGCTTCCCTTTTATAACAAAATAAGGCATTATGCACCTAAAAATTACTGAGCGTTTATTATGACCCCAGCATAACAGCCATCTTTGTGGAAAAAATTTTGTCCACAAG